TCACCGCACAGAGCGGGCACAAGAGGACACTCACCACACAGAGCGGGCACAAGAGGACACTCACCACACAGAGCGGGCACAAGAGGACACTCACCACACAGAGCCCGTAGTGCAGGTGTGCCAGCGTCACCAGGGTGCTAAAGGCCAGGAGCCCCAGGAACTCGCCGTTGGCCAGGAGCCCGGAGAGGATGGCCCCCACCATGACAGCCAGAGGCAGGAGCAGCCAGTGCAGAGCTTCAGACCGGGTGTTAGTCATCTGGCAGATGATCAGCCTGCACTGTAACGGCAGGCAAGGCGTGGGGGGGGAGAGCAGAGAGCCTTCTGTAACCCCCATCAACTCACAATAAACTGAAACTGACTCACATCCTGTTATGTAGAGCGGTGTTTCCCAATCCAGTCCTCGGGGACCCACAGCCGGTCCACGTTTTTGCTCCCTCCCAGCTCCAAGAGCAATAACTTGGACTGTATGGTATGGAGCTGGGAGGGAGCAAAAACGTGGACCGGCTGTGGGTCCCCGAGGACCGGATTGGGAAACACTGACATAAGACTAATATTCAACAGGTAAAGGTAAAAAAAAAATGTGCTACTGGCATACAGTGCCCACTGCATCAGTACCCTTACACTGGTAAGTGTTAGCGACACTGGTAAGTGTTAGCGACATAGAAACAGGCAGGAAAAAGGGAGAGGAAGAGCGTCTTACAGACACGTTGGAAAAGGCCACGCCCGTCATCCACAGGAAGGTGCGGGGGTGCTGTGCCAGCACGTCACTGGGCGAGGAGAGGGCCCAGGTGGTGAGCAAGGCGAACAGGAGGCAGGGAGAGAGAAGCGGGAGGAGGCCTTCGTACAGGGAGCTCCTCTGCAGGGTTCCATCGCGGTGCCCCCTACAGGCAGAACAGGAACACTTCACAGGTAAAAACCCTCTAATGATTATTAAAGGCATAATGTGTCCAGGGGTCCATTTGTAAAACATTATATCATCATCCTGATTGTGACAGCCCCATGGTTACTGATTGGTTACCTGAGAGGGGCTCTAATGATCTTCTTAACTCTGATTGGATAAAAACATCTTTGAAGCATCTGGAGTGTGACTATGGCTTCTGACCGTCAGTGTGAGAGACGCCACTCACTTGTAAATGTTGTAGAGAGTCTGCGGCAGGGACAGGAAGGCAATGCACCCTGGAGAGAGAGACATCCTCTAAAAAAACACTCAGTGCTGATTCTGGGACCAAGCCGGCCCTTATCACAGCAAACACTGTTACACGATGACAATAAGACAATGTTACAGCCCACAATATCCCTCATTATAGTCCTGAAAGGTCGCATCTTCACTTCTTTGATAAATCACACAGTTGTCTTGTCTATCGGCACATCACCCGAAATCACACATGTATGCCTGCTCTGTTCACATGCATTATTCTTCCTTTTTAATATCTCTGCCAAAAGTTCTTCCTTTTCTCAACACTCTCTGTGATTGGATGCTGATGCTTAAGCTTCCTTTCATGTGACCATTAAAAGAAGCTGCCTTGCTTGGTTTCTGAGCCTCGCTTCCTGATTGTCCATGTGACTGCCTCCCTTCGTTCCTTTCCTGCCGTTTCCCCCCTCTCTCTCTCTCTCTCCCTCCCTCCCTCCTGCGCGGCTTATTTTCTATTCCATAAATCTGAATGAAAAAAAAAAAAACAGAAGTCATGCACACAAAGCAAACAGATCATTATTGCTGTACGCTTACTTCACTTTCCCTTTCTTTAATAATGAATGTTTATGTCTATGATTAATTCATATGTAGCACAAGTCTTCCTTTTCACAGAAACAGCACCTGAACCACAGTCTCTCTCAAACTAGGAGTGTCGGTGATTTTATAAATATGCACGCACGCACGGACGGACAGACCCATAACTCCCAATCATCCTCTCCAATCCCCACTGTCAGTGTTTATGCTCCTTCACACCTAATCATGTGAATTCCTTCTTCTAAAGAACACAATATACTCAACTCAAGTGACCAGTCTCAAATAAACCGGCACGACACACATCACTGCATACAGGCTCTTCCGGTAGGCTTGGGAGTGACCCTAAACGAAACCGTCGAGATGATCAGCACGAAGATCACTGCAAATAATGTAATGATGTGAAAGTGCACCATATAAAAATTAATTTGTTGTTTTTCTTGAAAGGACATCAAGTGCCGTCAAGCAGCATCAGCCCATACAGACCAATGGGCAAAATCAATGTCATCATATTCCCACATAAAGAGATGGCTTGTGCAAGTCATTATGGGAGTGAAAGGTCTCCGTGAAATGATTATGAGCATTGACATGCAGGAGCTGAGATAGAAACCGTGAAGCAGAAAAACACTGGCTCATCATAAGACGTTTATGTCCTCATATATCAATCTTCAGCAGTGGGAAGGCCAGATGACGGTCCACAGAAATGCCCACATCAGCCGTATTCAGTTCTATTCTGTTGCCTAATAATTAATAATTTTATCATAAAAGCCAAACAATCAGGTATTATTCTGATAAAGAAAGCTGAAAATAAACGTGCCCTGTCATGTATTAACATTTAAATACCCATCAATCTGGGTAACTGGCTTACAGAGTCAGTGAGGTGTGTAGAGCTGACAGTTCAGGGAGGAAAATGCATATATTTATGCAGTATATATTAGAATGGAGTCAGGGACATAGCCTGGGTTTGGAAAAGAGTGAGGTCTAGGTCCGGGTCCGGGTCCGGGTCCGGGTCCGGGTCCAGGGCCGGGTGGGGTGGGGGGAACTCGTCAAACACATTTTTATTGGTGTTGACAATCTGAAGAATACTAATTCTGAAAAATACACCATACATCCTGCATGTGCCAAGAGTAAGAGTAGTTTTAAACATAAACAGTTTACCCTGGATGACCTTGCCAGAGCAAGAAGCAAAAATATACTCTACTAACCCTACAGTGTCCCTAGCTGATTGAATTTAGGTCTATGCCATAGACTAGTATCAATAACGCTTGATATTAACACACCATTACAAGCTAACATCAAATACACTTGTTTTCATATCCAAATTTGCCTTTGAAATGGTTCTATGGACACTGTTATTGATACTGTCCCCTTCATAAGCCGTTTATTATTATTATTTATTAATGACGTTGTGTGGAACGTTAGTTAGCCTAATCTAGCCCATAGCGCGTAATGTGAAACAAATCCAAGCTTTACCATGGCCAGAGTAGCCCAGCCTAAGCTTATATTTAACATGCTTCATATAATTATCTTTACTCCAAATGCCAGAGCGGGTTGCAGTTCTGGAACATTTTTTACACATAATGGCATCCTCTGTCATGCTGATACTGAATGCTAGCGCTCGCTCGCTCTCTCTCTCTATCTCTATCTCTATCTCTCTCTCACACACACACACACACACATCAGACACTATTAATGACACATTCAAACTGAATTAATTCACTTGGCTCGCAGACATTTTCAACTGCTGATTCTTTCTATTCTGGTGAATACTTAGCTTGAAATTTTATTTTTAGCCCTTAAAAATATTAGCAAGGTCCAGGGCTCGGTGCCATCATAGCTGGTTATGGTCCTGCATTTATTTGATACGGGTCACCACACTATGCTTGTCAATGATCCATTTAGGATTTAAGGATTTTGAGGCCCTCGGCAAACCGCAAAGATGTTTATTCTCTACTGCAGTTTAATCACACATGTGACTCAGCCATATGACACTCTGCCATCACACGCTGAAGCAGAAGAAAGGATTATTACTGCCATTACCAGCATGTATGTGGCCAACGAAACAAAAGGGTGCTTCAGGCCATTTCATGATTATTGATAAGTGGCGCCCTCTGGTGCCCATTAATGTAACTGACCTGGTCTTCGATTGTTTTCCGAATGGAATCCTGAGCTTTGAAATGCAGTTTTCACTTGTCAGTTTACCTGGTCATCTTAGATCCATTGATTTAAAAATTACTTTAATTATGGTTGGAAATTTTTCCTGCCGAGATACTAATGACTATGACAAAATATGCCAGAGACGGGGGCAATAGGACCATGACACTCTGGTGCCCTATTCTCACAACACTATTTGTATAACCGAGGAATCCGTGATGAAAAAAACCATCGTGATTTAGCCCTATTAGTGGATGTTATCCGAAATATTAAAATATGGAGACTAACTAGCTGGCCATGATTATCTGAATTTAGGCACTGCATTTAGGTAAATTAAGTTTATCACAAAAAAGCAACTGATATAGCAAGATTGGCAAGTGCATGAGCACAGAGAACAAAACTCTCTTTCCATAGGTCCAGTCAGGACCGGATGCTTATTGGACGTTTCTGCGAAAGCTGAAATTGTTGAAAGGAGGGTTAAATAAAAAGCAGAAGTCTTCTTTACTTGTTTTACTAGCAGTGATAATTGCAGGGTTAGGACACCACTCCCAGGATCAGGTGCTCACTGGTTCAAATCCCATGCCTGACACAGTGATGTCGCCACTGCATCCCTTGAGGAAGCCCCTTAACCCCAACTGCTTCAGGGACTCTCTCATCCTCACTGCCTATTGCTTTGGGAAAAAGCGTCTGCTTAATAAATTTAAAAGTGTGGATAATGTATAACAATTTAACTTCAACCACTGGATTATCACTGACAGTCTTCGTAGCTAGCTAACTAAATCCCGACAAGCCTCAACCCGTCTAAAGCAGGTGGCTATAACAGAGCTTTTCTTTAACTGGCCGGTTTTCCTCTGTGCCTAGAGGAGACACATCCATGGAAACACAGGGTGTGGTCGAGCTAACACTTAGTCAGCACCAAAACAAAGCCATTCGTCAAGGCCTACTTTCACTCATCTCTACCCGGCGGTTCCCCGTTTTCCTTAGATGCTTGCATTTCCATCATTTTTTAATGTTTAAATGATGTCACAGTCATCCTTGCGGGAAATGGAGAGAGCAATGATGTTTAGAAGCAGGTCACAGGGAACAGTAGGGGCTAGACTAGTGGCAAAAGGGCAGCTTGACGTTAATTACTGTGACACAGCCACACGTGACCGATAAAATGAAGAGTACAAATATAACGGTACCTGATACCGTTATCTTTCAAAAACGTATCTGATACCACAAGACCGGGGACACCCAGGATGGGATGTCAGTCCAATGCATGGCATTGTGGACGATTCAAACATGACAGCTCAGCTAACTGCATGCCTTTGGACTGCAGGTCTCGAATGCCTAAAGGGGACCCATGCAGACTTGCAGGTCTCGAATGCCTAAAGGGGACCCATGCAGACTTGCAGGTCTCGAATGCCTAAAGGGGACCCATGCAGACTT